AAACGAAAGTCATACCGTTTGTTTGAAAGAAAATCTTGGTTCATTTGAAGTACCATTGTAACAGAAAATACTATTATCTAGACAAGGAAGTGGGCTGGTGGTTTCGGTCGTTAAACTGTTGTAGAATACCTAAGGACGATAATGAGTATGTTCCCATTCACATAAATACAGTAGTAAATACTGTATGTTGGTCTGCAGTCGGAGATTCGTCTCCAGCTGTGCTGGTCAAACTCTCTGCCTCCGGGCAGAGAGGATCCCTAGACGAGGCTATGTCGAAGGGCAATCTCGTCTCTGGAAACAGCTACCCAACCACGTTTTATACGGGTTCTACGGGGAATTTTTGGCCGAGCCTACGGGCTCGGATTGCCCCACATTAAATTCGACCTTTTGTCGCATCTGACCGCGTGGGGCGGTTGGTAGAGATCCTGCAGTCGGAGATTCATTGTGGAATTCACTTGACCCACTTGTAGCAGTTGACTACTTCTTCTACGCGCCGCTGGCGAATCTTATATATGTTGTTTTTATCCTAAGTATTATCGTTCATTACCAACCTTCGTGTGATTATTCTATTCAGTAACCTTCCCTAGGTTACAACATTAACATCACCTCTGCTGTAAATGTAAGGCAGCAAACAGCAATGGAACTGAAATGGGAAGTTATTACACTCTTCACTTGCAGACTATGATAAAGAATCAAGAAGATTATTTGGATGACTAAATAATGACGCTATGAATTTATATGAAAACAATTTTCTTAAAATTCCTAGAAACGTTTGCCTTGCATAAAATGTATTGATAGATAAGAAGCCCAAAGTTGGCTTGGTCTATAGGAAATTGTCATTAGCTTCTAGTTTGCACATAGGACCTAGTCTTTATTTTCGATTCACATGCTAACCTAGTGTTATATTCCGTGCTAATAGGAATATATACTTGAAAAAACTAGGTGGATATAATAAGTAAAGGTTTAAAATAAGTAACGGTTTAAAAAAACAGTACAATAAGAATAAAGGTAACAACTATGCACAAGGTCGTCGGAAGTCAATCCAGTAGTGAGTGCTGCTATTGGAAGGTCGGTAGTTCTTGCGTAAGTCTGAGTCGTACTCAACAGATCCCAGCTAGTATATTTACTAACCGTCACACGCAATCAGATGTGGCATAGGGCCGAATTTAATGTGGGGTATCCGAGCCCGTAGGCTCAGCCAATAATTCCCCGTATAAAACGTGGTCTGGTAGCTGTTTCCCAAGATGAGACTATGCCCTTCGACATAGCCGCGTTTGAGGATCCTCTCTGGTCGGAGGCAGCGAGTTTGACCAGCACAGCTGGAACAGATTCTAGCTTGTCGGTATTTACTAGCACCCCCCATCACCACCACCACCACCACCACCACGAAGGTAGATGTGGCACAAGGCCGAGTTTAATGTGGGACATCAGAGCACTTAGTCTCGGCCAAAATTCCCCGTAGAAACCGCATAAACGCGATCGGGTTGGTCTACCTCCCCGAACGAGACTCTACCCTTCGGCATAGCCTGGTCCGGGTTCCTCTCTGCCCGAAGGCAGAGAGTTCGAGTGTATAGCTGAAAAGATTTCAGCTAGTTGGTATTTACTAGCTCCCTCACGAGGGTAGATGTGGCACAGGGCTGAGTTTTACCTGGATCTTCCGAGCCCGTAGGCTCGGCCAAAAATATTCCCTTTCCAACCCGTATAAACGGGGTCAGGATCAGTCTACCTCCCCGAACGTGACTGCACTTCGGCTGAGCCTTGTCCGGGTTCCTCTCTGCTCATAAACAGAGAGTTCGACCGTCTTATCGAAAAAGATTTCGGCTAGTATACTTAGCCCCCCCCCCTTGAGGGTTGCATGTGGCACAAGGCCGGGTTTAACGTGGGTTTTCCGAGCCCGTAGGATCGGCCAAAAAATGCTCGTAGAAACCGCATAAATGAGATCGGTTTGGTCAACCTCCTCGAACGAGACTCTGCCCTTCGGCGGAGCCTCGTCCGGGATCCGCTCTGCTCAGAGGCAAAGAGTTCGACCGTCTAGCCGAAAAGATTTCGGCTAGTATATCTAGCTCCCGTCCCATGAGGTTCGTATGTGGCACAAGACCGAGTTTAACGTGGGTTTTCCGAGCCCGTAGGTTCGGCCCAAAATATTCCCTTTCGAACCCGTATAAACGGGTTCAGGGTCAGTCTACATCCGTGAACGAGACTCTTTCCTTCAACGGAGCCTCGTACGGGTTCCAAAGGCAGAGAGTTCGACCGTCTACCTGGAAAAGATCCCAGCTTGTCTAAGATTTCGGCTAGTCTTTGTAGTCCGTTGACTTACAGATTCTTTATATTACTACCTATAGTGTAGTCATTCATGGGGGTGACAGGTTATTCCATTACATTACCTAGTTTTCATAAAATGCACGCCGCCTCATCACCGACACCACCACACCATCTTAAAATAAGATGAATGAAAAACTAGTAAAAAATTAATAACGATAATGCTTCGGATAAGTTAAGACTATATCTCTCACTAGCAGGTGTAAACAAACAATATGACCTGGAAAATCGAATATAAGAAAAATATAACTATATGAAGAAAATTTGAAGGTTAATCTTTGTAGCTTAATCGGTAAGGCATTGTGTCTGTCAGACAGACTACCAGGGATAGCAGTTCAAATTTTGTTGGAAACTTTATTATTTAAGATTTACGTTGTTTACATTTAAAGGTAAAAAAGACGTGTGTGATAACAAAACACATTGAAAGAAGTGTGCGATAACAAAATCTGATGAAAGAAAATATTATTTTAAACAAAAGAAATAAAATGAAAGAAAAACTAACCAACAATTATTAATAATGAGAATGCGTCATGTAAGAAAATTGACCATCTCAAGATTATTATATCTAATACTATTCGATGTAAGGAAGATGAAAGAAAAAATTAGTAAGATGATTATTTCTGACAACTTATGACTATTTTTTTAAAATCGGTATCATCTCATGCAAGGCGGTGAAGCCACTAAAGGAGTTACAGGGTGTAGAAAAAATAGGAACGGAAACATTCATAATCATTGGGAATATGAAAGAGTAATCAAGAGTACAGTAGATAGCAATTAACATTGCAATTCAATTTTAGCAGATGAAAGTTGGTTGTAAAGCATGGAGACGGAAAGGAGTTTCACAAGCGAGAATTGCGAGAAAAGGAACTGTTAGCATAGAATTTACGGTTCATCTAGCTAGCTCAACTGTAAATCTTGATGCCATTCTAGTTCTGCGCTTAAATTCAAACAATAATATTTCTAGATGCAAGAAACAACAAAAGTCAAATGATAGAAAAACTAATAAAAAATGAGAAAAATTATCGGACATTTTATTAACCGGAACCTTCTTATTGAACTATCTGATGTGAATTTTGATTATTAATGAGTGTTATATATTTTCTATATTTAATTTTATCATCAACTGACATAAGCAGGTGGCATATTTTTCAAAGGTCGGCTATTCGTATTATAGGCTTACTAATGTTTTACTGCGTAATTTTGTTTCGGTTCTCGCGATAGGAAAGGATTCCAATTAAAAATATATAGACGTCAGAGATTATTGCAGACAACATCAACATATTTGAATTATACTGGGAAATCCTTTCCCTATTTACCAAGGAGTTGGATGCATATAGTCTTCTAAAATATATTTCCTGCTCTCTCTCTCTCTCTCTCTCTCTCACACACACACACACACACAGATGCACAAACGTACACAGAAATACGCACAGACTTATAGAAATAGAGACATCAACACACATACACACGCACGAAGACATACACACACAGACAGATAGACAGACAGACACACATACAGGGATACAAGTACAGATCATAAAGAGATGCAAGCCCGCACAGAAATACAGACACACTTAGATACAGACGCACAGAGGCACACACACACACACACACACACACACACGCAGATACTGATATAGGTAGAAACATGCATATCGATACAGATATAGGCAAACACAAAGACACAGAAACTTACAGAGATACAGGCGCACAGATACATAAACATAGATGCAGACGCACATAAAGATACAGACGCACAGATACTAACAGACTAACAGAAGGAGATACACACATTGGCACAGACAAAAAGGAGACACGCATAGATATATACATACAGGCAGATGCACATAGACACACGCATAGATACAGACACTCGCACAGAGACAGAAACGTACATTCACGAGCGTACGTATATAGAGACATAGAACCAAGTTTTCTCCAGTTCACAAAAGGTGCGGTTTAAACATTAATGATGACACCATGGGTCGTGAGCCCTTATAAGAAATGGATCTTTGTTGCAGAGCTATGTTGAGTCATTCATTTCGGTTGTTTCAATCCCAGCATGCAACGGCCGACAAAAAACACTTCCGCTGCTTGCTTGGCCTCAATTTCAAACTGCGTGGGAGACACAAAAGTGAAAGCCATTAAAAGAAACTAAAACGAAATCCCATTCGTTTCAAATGCATAAGCAGAAATGGATAGGGAACGGAAAAACAAAACTGACTTTGCGCGTCTTTAATAATAATAATAATAATAATAACGGATGGAAAAATGGTGAAATATGAAAGTAGCTATTTTATCCATCATTACTGAAATACTTGGAATAATTCTTGCAAAGATCTTTGCAAAGAGATCAGACTTAGGAATCTATAGAATAACTGACACCGTTCAAACGACAGTATGTTTAATTGATTGATTCGTTATTTACGGACTATCAACCCATTACGGGTGATTTAAAGCCACAAAGTATTTTTAAATTGTAAGATTTAAAATGGAGATAGTAATGTTTTAGCGATACAAGTCTTACTAATCAACCCATAGCAGGGGGAGAATAGGTGAATTCCTACTTTTCCAAAGTCTATTTGCACGTAAGTGAATATAACGAATTCAACGTGAATTGGAACTCGACTCGCCGATTAAAATTTCGAGCCATTATCCATTATACAACTCGCACAATCAAGCTTACAGCATCTGATATTCCCTAGCAGTCACCCATCAAGGTACTGACCAAGCATCGACGTTGCTTAACTTCGGTAATCGTACGGCAGTCGGAGTTTCAATGTGATGTGGCCGTAAGCCAGTATGAGAGGTCGGGGAAATTAAAAAGATTTATCATCGCCAGATCTTCAGACAGATCATCCCACCCAGGTATCTATTGGTTAAATATTCATATACAAATTGATCATTATTAATCCATCAGTACTGGGATTTGTAGCGTGTAGGATAAGTAATGTATCGGATTATTGATAGTAGGAAGATTGATTGATCTGGGTTTTTTTTGCGGTTTATCAACCTTTTGAGCCTTATTTAAAGCCAGGAAATATTTTTAGATTGTAAGAATTTTTTTGAGATAATGATATACTAATACAAGTTCTACAAGTTAACTCATAGTTAAGGGAGAAGAAGTGACCTCATAATTTTCCCAAGGGTATTTGCGTGTAAGTGAATATAAAAACCCCGACTAGAATTAGAAGTTGTCTCTCCGATTTCAAATTCCGACTCGTTATCCATTACACCACTACTGGAGGAGAAAATAGCTATAATCACCTTCCCAAGTCCTATCTCAAAATGCAGATACGAATGAAAAACAAAAACAAAAAACGAATACCTTGTAAAATACCACCAGTGGAAATGCAAATATATGCACTTTCTACAAGGTAGATTACCTAACATACTTTAGAAAATGCCTTTAATTTAAACTAAACAAATAAAATAAGCAGACACCGAAAAAATCTATATGAATAAATAAACAAATCAAGTAAATAATAATTTTTGCGTAATTTAATCGACAATTTATCCATCGCACTCTATGTCCTTACCTGGGAACTGAGAATTGTGGGTAATATAAAATTGAGAGTCGTTCTTGTAATTATAAGCGTTAGAATGGGGATTAGATGAGCTAGAAATTCGAAGAAGAATCGAGATTGTCCGAAACGCAAAAGGTATTGAAGATTTTTTTAAAAATCAGTATCACCCCATGCAAGGCAGTAAAGCCACTAAGACACAAGGGGTTACAGGGTGTGGAAGAATTAGGAACAGAAATATTAATGATGAGCATGATGAACAATAAAAATATTGAAAAATTAAAAAATTAAATTTTTCAGACATACTGGGTTATATATTAATAGTTTTTGTTTTATTATTTCAATTAGGTTCGTCGACTAGTTTCGGCCAGCCTGGCCATCATCAGTAGAAAAAAAATCCTGCTTGTTAGTATCAGTGAACTACAGGAATGAATGACTTTCTGAAGGAAATGAACTTTATTTGTAGTTTTCATTTGTTTTTTTTATTATCGTTAATTTTGGACAGTCCTTGTGTTGGTCAAACGGCTTCTTTTAAGTTGTTTTTAAGCTAACGGCTGTGGAGATTCATGCAACTCAGAATTTCCTTCGTCATTTTGACAGTTTTATTGATTCCTGGGAAGGGGATGTGTCTGTGTTAAGTGTATGTTATCATTTAGTTCTTTGGGAGTGTGTATGATGTGTGTAAGTGTATATGTTAGTATGGGTGTGTGTATAAGTGTGCTAGAATGGGGATTAGATGAGCTAGATATTCGAAGAAGGATCAAGACTATCCAAAACCCAAAAGGTACTAGAGATTTAAAAAAAAAAATCATTATCACCCCATGCAAGGCAGTAAAGCCACTAAGACACAAGGGGTTACAGGGTGTGGAAGAATTGGTGACAGAAACATTAAAAATGAGCGGGAATAGAAAAGAGTAATCAAGTGGACAGTAGATAGCGATTGGCATTGCATTTACATTTTTGTAGATTAAAATTGGCTGGGAGGGATGAAGCCAAAAGTGAGTTCCACATGTGAGAAGTGCGAGAGAAGAAACTGCTAGCATAGAATTTACAGCTACATCTTGCCAGTGCAACTGTAAATCGATGAGATCTCAACGCCAGTCTAGTGCTGCGCTTAATTTCAAAAGCGTTCAAGGTACGACAGCGAAGAGCTTATTCGATTAATTACCATGCAATTATTTATAGAAAATACAGAGGGAAGCAATCTTACGGAGGTGGGAGGTGACTGGAACTGAGTGAATGTTAATCAGTCTTCAGCGGCAATTTTGTGTAAATAGGCAAATGCATAAACAATAATAATAATGATAATTATAATGCAAGTTAAGTTACAAGTAATACAAAAATTGGCATACTTGATTGAGTAAGTCGATCCACTGGGAACTATGCAAAATATTTGGAGCTGTTCATAAAAAGCCAATAGTGTTTATACACAAACCAGAAACGATTTTGAAATAATAAAAAATTCTTTACGATATGAAAATTTAACAGATCTCCGATTTTAGGACAAGAGAACTGATATAAAATCATCGTGAACAACGAGAAAAAACTTACATTTTATGGGCAGGCTATTGTCCTTATCTTTGCTGTTATCACAACGTTTCAGTCTACGGCCTTCATTACGCGTATGTCGATCTGGGTAACCTATAGCGAATTCCGAACTGAACCCTATATTTGATCTATGGGGAGTCGATTGTTCTCGTTCTATTGCCTATGTATAGGCAATACTGCCTATGTATCTCGTCCAGTTCTTATTTTTAGTCCTGTTCAGTTATTAATCGCCTGTTTCTGAGTTCAAATACACACTGCTGGCCCAGGGAGCGTGAAAAAGAACTGACAGATAGCGGACCATCTAGTAGAATATTATCTGACTTGAAAGTTTAAAGAGATCACCCATTTCACAAGAGAACTGATTTAAGCATCGTAAAAAACGAGAGGAAAACCTGTCAGTTAGCGGACGCCGCTTGTTCTAGCAGACCACAAAGTAAAACTGAAGTAGAAAGACAACATGGAAAAAATATCTCGACTTTACGAGAGTACTGAAAAAAAAACCTTTGGAATATGAAGGTGATAGTTCTGTTCGTCCTCGTCATTATTGGCCATCTTGGAATTGTTTCAAAAAGACTTGCAAAGAAGTTACAAGAATGGGAAATCCAAGAAGGAATTGAAAACATCAAGGCGACAGAATTAGCTAGAATACTGAGGTTGGTACTAAGGCTATGAAGAAACTTGCAGTCACTTAATCTCCAATAGTTATAGCTTGTGTGAACATTCATGGAATAGAAATAATAACAATAGTGGTTATTAAAGGAAGAAAGAATATTGATGAATTTGGCAATGGAAACAATATAATTAGGTAAGTACTTATATTCATTTGAATGGCTTTTATAAGAAAATAATTATTCTGCTACAAATGAAATTTATGAGGAAATTGATGATGGAATAAGGATAAGATGAGCAGGAAGAGCAGATAAAGAAGAAGAAAAAGAAAAGAGAGACGAAGAAGAGGAAAAAGAGGAGGAGGTAGAAACGAAGAAGAATTAGGAGAAAAAAGAGAGAAAAGGATGAGTCGAAAGATAAGATAAAGAAGGAGACGGTAGAGTAGTAGTAGCAATAGTATTAGCAGTAATAGTAATAGTAGTAGTAGTTGTAGTACAAGAAGAAGAAGATTATGAAGAAAAAGAAGAATTAGGAGAAAAAAGAAAGAAAAAGATGAATCAGAAGATAACATAAAGAAGAAAAAGAAAAGAAGAGGGGGTAGACGAGAAGAAAAGGGAAGGACGAAGAACATTTAAGAAAAAAAAAGAAAGAAAAGAAGATAAAAATGAGCCGAAAGAGAAGAAGAAGAAGAAGAAGAAGAAGAAGAAGAAGAAGAAGAAGAAGAAGAAGAAGAAGAAAAGTCAGTAGAGTAGTAATAGTAGTCAAAGTAGTAGTAGTAGAAGAGGAAGAAAAAGAAGAAAAAAGAGGAGTCGGTAGAGTAGTAGTAGTAGTAGTAGTAGAAGAAGAAGAAGAAGAAGAAGAAGAAGAAGAAGAAGAAGAAGAAGAAGAAAAAAGAAATAAAAGAAGAGAAAGATGAGCCGGAAGATAAATTAAAGAAGAAAAAGAAAAAAAAGAAGAGGCGTTAGAAAAAAAAATTAAGACTAAAAAAAGAAAGAAATAATAAGAATAACGATAAAGAAGAAAAAGAAAATAACGAGGAAGAGGTAGAGAAAAAAGAATTAGCAGCAAAAGAGAAAGAAAAAGTACAGAAAAGTTAGAGGAAAGATTAAAAATATGGCGGTAATAGGAAAAAAAAAAAACCTGTTGATGGCGATGAATGAACGGAAGAAAGAAATGCAGAAAGAAAAAAGAAAGACAGATAAATAAAGAAAGAAACAGAAAAATAAAGGTATGAAAAGAAGAAAGTAGAGAGAAAACGTAAAGAGTAGGAGTAACAAAGAGAAAAAGGCAAGAATAGGAAGAAGAGGTGAAGGAAGGAGAGGAGAAATCGGTAAAAGGCTTGGTCCACAATCTGAGCGGCATTCAAACCCCACCCCCACCCCTGGGTATGATGATGAACATTTTGTGGTTAAATCTGAAAGACCGACATAGTGGCGACTTGGATTCAACAACCTCTTTAACTTAATAAAAAAAATAGTAGAAGAGTAATTCCCACGGATGTCATTCAGTTTTGAACCAGGTGTTGTTTCCATTAACAAATATAAATTTCTATCACCTAAACAGCCCCACAAAATCTTTTAATAAGACAAAAAAAAAAAATAAATAAATAAATAAAAAAATAAAAATAAAAAATAAAACAAAACAAAAACTTAACGAATGTAAAGCTTTTACATATATTTGCATTTAAAATTTAAAAACAAAATTTTTCTCTTTGATAATGCTTCCTTTTTTATTATAAGGTAGAAGGATTATTTTAGACTGTTGATATCTATCTATCTATCTATCTATCTATCTATCTATCTATCTATCTATCTAAGGATGCTCTTTACCTCTCTATTTAGCACAATCGATTATACTGGGAAACATGCTTTTGCTTCCTGGTATTGAATACGTTTCCTAGTAATTACGTCGCGCTGATTTCAGAAATGAAATCTATTTTGCTTTATCGCGTCAGGATTTTTCACAAATTCAAATGTCCATTTTGGATCATTTCCGGTATTGTTACCATTTCTACGAACAGATTTGGCTTCCTCGAATACAGACCCATTGATGGAGCTTGACATAACTGTGAAAACAACATTTTTCAATGTCATTTAAAGTGAATGCAACTACAAA